CTCTCTCTCTCTCTCTCTCTCTTTCTCTCTCTCTCCAACCCCTCCAACATCTACCCCTTCATAAAACTCGATCAGTTTTACTTCACTTTTTGTACATTTGGCTCTCTCTTTCCATTGCATAGTTCAGGTCCTATAACACTTGCAACAAACTACAGAACTCAAATGAATGGCAGTTCTGAGGAACTAAATTGCCAAATCAAGAAATGCAGCTAGCCAATTACTGTGACAAATAACAAAATAGAGCAGAATATTTACATGGGCCCTACTGATGAAATCCTGCAGGGTCAGAAATGGCTTGCTTATGATCAAAACTCCTACTGATGACTTGCTGGCAGAGAAATGTATGGAGACCATGGTTCTCAAATGCATTTCATTCCAAGTAAGTCTTAGCTTATGGGTTTTATTCCTTTTCCTATATAACTCATTAAGAAAAACCTCATATGTTTCCTAAAATAAAATGTTGAATTAATTCAGAAAAGGTACTATTTTATATAGTACTTTGGTTCATTTATAAATCAATATACCTTTCTAAACCTAAAACCTTTTCAATTTTAATTTTAAAATAATGATATACATTATAAAAATATATTCTTAATTTACACTTGGAAGGTATTTGGTTCTATGAGAACACTTGGCTCTCCATCTTGTTGCCAATAAGTTAAAAGGAGAATTTTAAAGTTCTGAATCTGAATCACTTGTTTCCCTAGGCAACAGAGTTACAGTTCTAACATACACAGTTACAACTCAAGATTCTCAAAAGGAGGTAAATTGACATCATCCACAACTTAATTCAATCAGAACTTCATAAATAAGAAGGTGAAAATCATTAAGTTCATATTAACGTTTATCCTGGAACACTTCAAGAGAACTGAATGATTCAATTATGAGTCAAGATTTAAGGTAATTGAGAGGTGACAAAGGAACTACTTTTGCTTTGACCCACAACCATCAAAACTTGTCTCAAAATGTATTACTCTAGTTTGTGGCCTACTTAGACTATAACTGCAATCTTCTATTCATGATTTAAAAACGCAGTCTTCAGTGTCTGCACTTTTAAGTAAACCGAGTATGTTGATGTTACTAAAATTGACATTTTAAATAATTTTCTAAAGCATTTTTACAAATTCCTGTAATTACATCTAATTCCTTTATATATATGTACCCTGACTGTTAATTTCCCTATTCTATCATCTAAAAATACACTAGGTATTAAACATAATATTTCTTGTAACTTTCCTACTTCAAGGAAAAAATAATCTTTTCTTTTTAAAATATCAGACTAATGAAAAGTCTGGCTAATATTTATAGAAATAGATACCTTTGGAAATTGAAATGTAGTAATAGGGTACAGCTTGATGAAACTGTACCCTATTGGTTATGACAGTCGGAACTGATGGGAGGACAGCCACAGTAACTAATCTGGCACCCAGTTCTTTCATACAGTTCCATAACATGTGGCCTATGCTTTCCTAAAAGACATCTAACCATTGCTTTGAAAGAGGTATTAGATATTAGTAATATGCAACAACCAAGATTTACTTACAGAAAAAGCACTCTATCCTACTATCTATTCTTTAACATAACCAGTCTTCTGATTTAGAATATTTTTAGAATATGAAAATTAAGAGTATTCACCTGAAGACAAACAATGACCAATGGTTCAACTTTAACAAAACTCCTAACATGCAAATCTTCAGCAAAGATATTAAATATTAACAGTTAATAAAATAACGAAAGGTAGTATTGATTAAGCAGCCATTGTTGCTGAATACTACATTAAGCAATTTGAATGTATGTCTCATACTTATGACAACTGTGCAATATATACTACTACTTTTTTCATGAAAAAAAAAAACTGAGACTCAGAGAGGTTAAGTACTAATCTAAGGTAACAGAACAACTTGGTGTACAGAGCTATTATTACTCACACCAAGTCTAACTGCGAAGCCATTACAGTGACTCTCTAAGCTAGGCACACATTTCACAATACTGTATTAATGAATATGGTCCTGTTGTTTCAAATGAGAAATTTCTTTAAAATTTTCAAGACTAACTTAAAGTTATCTTAAATTGCACTAATCCATTTGTAAAGAATTTTAGGAGAAGTTAGCATCTGAAAATCAAACTAATGACTAGGTAGCAAGTCTCAACAGGCAATCTAGAAGATAAATTATTGCTAAATTACTTGTATTTACTTCATTTCCCTAAGGGAAATCTCTTCATTCTTAATTAAGAAAGTTGTCCTGACAAATGTAACAGACTTTTTGAGATTTGGTTAAAAAAAATAGATTCCCAAATTTTCTTTTCCTCCACAAAGGAAATTGTATGTCTAATTCATAAGCATATCTTCTTAATAATAAGTCACTTTGAGGTTTCATTTAAACAAACAAACAAACAAAAATAGTAAACTTTGATACACCATAATTTACTTGATTTTAGCAATTCTAGCCTAATTGGAAATAAAACTCCACAGAATAATTTGATTCATTGTCTCCTCCACATAGTAAAAAGTTTTGCAAAATAGATTTTAAAGTCAAGCAGCATTACTCTTTTCAAATATATCTATCATATTTGTCTTAAAACAAAATGCAACTCTTTGCCATGCCTATATATGTCCTTTAAAAGGTTTAAAATAATACTGATAATTCATAATTAAGATACTTCTGTAAAGCATAAAGCACAAAGATTTTCAAATTTTAACATAAGCTAGAGAACTGACAGCTTTAATTTAAAAGTATTAAAAGAAGTCATAAACATATCATGGATATATAACACACTGGAATAAATACCTATAACATATAATCTATGCATTTTTTAAAAAGCAAGCCAAATGTTATGATTTATAAATGTAAACTTCTTTTGATACCTCCACATTATTACAAGAGCACATAACAATCACATTCTCTTATTTGATGGGAGAGTTGTTTTCCTCATATCTTAAAATTAGATTTTATTATTAAACTTTGTCAGGTGCCTACCTCTGTAGTGGAAGTCTTTGGACATGTCTATGGGAGCCTGTTCTACTGCTGATCTCTTGTAGACAACATGAATTCTTCCTTTTTCTTCCTCCATCTGTTTACCTCTTTCCAAGGGTTCAATGAAATACTCTTCATTATCACTTTTTATCATTCCAGCCTAGAGAAAGCACAAAATGTGTTAATTTTAAAAAGAAGTATCTATCATCTTCAGCTAACAAGCACATCTTTTTAAATGTCAAGAGTATGACTTGTGAAAACTAACGCTTTTTCTTTCCACATTTGGCTATAAATTTAAAATAGTTATTAAGTATCAATAATTCATATAAGGTAGAAATTCACATATGACAGAAATGAAAAAAATTTATATTAAGGTATTATAGAATACAAAATTTACATAGGATGAGAATAGGGAAATCATACAACATATACATTTTATCAGACCGCAAAAGTACATTTATATATTCTACTTGGTATTTTGTATCTAGTAAGAATCATATGGGACACATAAATTCAAAAGATCTCTGATCTCCCATAGTACCCCATTGTGGACCACTTCTTCACATGTTACATACTTTTTTCTTATTTACACCTTCCTCCCAAACAAGGTGGTATGTGAGAAATGAGTTCCATGCTACATTTAGTATGTAAAGTTACTTCTTAAAATAGTCTCGTTAAGCTTATGCAGAAATTCCACATTTCTAAAGTTTATTAATTTGAAGAACTAACTCATATTTGTCCTAGTTTAACTTCATGATTATCATAACATTAACATTATATTTATATATAGCTGCCTCAAACGTCATTCTTTCACACTGAAAAGCCTAACCTTACATTCAGTTCCCCTATTTATTGTTTTCTGTTTGATCAGTCAGAAAACACCAGGGCTATATATAGCCAGTTCTGTTCCTGATGATAAATGATGGCTTGTTTTCTAAAATGCGATATTTCTTAAATATCAAGTCCACATTACAGTCAAGTAATTGTGGCTTGTATTTCTACTTTAAACATCATACATTAGTATGACATTAATTTACATATAAGCACATTTATTTGAAAACAAAATTGGAATAAATAATGTGTTCATGTGGAAATGGTAATTATTTTGAAAATATACATCAGATTTAGAGATGTCATATTTTTTCTCAGGCCTTTAACTTATTCTGTTTTTCACACATGAGGTTACTGGCTCTCATGCAACAGGGACAAGGGAGGAGTTTCTTACTCCTTCGAACTATGTTGACGTTTTTGCCATTATGCTGTCAAGCAACATAGAAATGAAAGGGAGGTGTTCTTTACCAAATAGCGTGTTTTCAGCAAATATATGTATTTATATTTATTTATATATATTTATGTATATTCGTGTACATACGTATATATTCAACAAATATATATTTATATATACAGCAAATATGCCTATGACGATAGCTTTTCTGTTACACTCAAATCTGTCCTTTCCTTTCTGTTCTGACTTCTACAACTAGGTATGCTATTTCCCTGCTTCCCCTTTGTAACCCTCTCAGGAAATTCCTAAAGGCTATGCCATCTCCACATGCCACTTCTACCCTTGCCTTCATGATGTGCACATACAAACAGCTCTGGAGCCTATGGGGCCATGTCTCACAAGAAAACATTACTACAACTCTTCCACTATTCTTGGCCCATACCCTCTGGAACAAATCTGTAGCTTTCACTTTAAAAAGCATTGAGCTAGTGGACACTCAGTAGTATTGCTGATATTTCAGACACTCCAATAATTGGAGATTCTTTCTTTATCTGACTAATTACTTTTTACCTAGTCATGTACTATCAAATACACAGAACTTTTCAAAAGTTACACAATTAATTATTCTCTATTCAGAGATGTTCCTATTGGTTAATGGATTTACCTCTTCTACAAATAGAATTTCTAACATTTTCCTCATGCTTTTCAATTTTAATTTTAATATCTTCTATATTATGGGCATATTCTTATATCTCTTATTACTAGTAGTTTCAACACTCACTGCTTTGGGCCTTCTCAGGCATTAATGAATTAATGTCCAGAAAACACACCCATTCTAGGCACAAACACAGTAAACATATAAACAGTTAATAAAATGTATAAGGCTAAAATGTCGTCTCATCCCTAACACCATCCATTGGTAGCAAAAAGCGTGAACTGGCTTTATCTTGGAAAGACAGGTCTGCGGATATACACAGAAGTTTACAAGGTGAAGTGCATCAGCATCAGAGTTTCAGTATTTGTCTTTATTCCAGTCTTGTCTTTGCCCTAAAGCCACTGGCACTGCATTCTGTAACATCTCCTACATTATTCTCCCATCCTCCTAAGACCACTAACACTTCCTTAGTTATAAACATCATCATTGTTTATTTGGATTACAGAAACTCCCTATCTTAAGATTTTCCAAAGATCATAATGATTCTCCCAGATGAGTGCCTGACTCAGGGCAGAAACAGTGCCACTGAAGTGGGCAGCAACTCTGAGCAATGAGCAGTGGCTATTGCAGTCACTCAAAAGTGACAGGGAGGGCAGTGAGGATTAGCCTATGTGCCTTTTGAAAACACTTATCCGTATCTACTACGGCAAACATTCAAATTCCAGGACACACGGTATTATTTTACCCCACTAAGCCACAGGTGAAACAAAATTCAACACAACTAAACATCTCACTTAGAAATCAAAGAAAATTTAAGTCAGATTGAGGCAGTATTAGTGACAAGTCAGGAGTTGGATCATGTGATGTCCATGGACCTGGAATCTGAAAGTCAGTCTTTTTATTTATTAAGTAAAGTTTAACGAAAGAAAGGACTTTATATAAAGCACTGTACTAAACATCCTAATAATTTGGAAATCCTGAAAAACAGTTCATTTGTCCTCATTTGATTAAATCCAGTCAAATAAATAAAATACCTGCCTACTGATATTCAATGAGTATGCTATGGAAAGTCCAGAAGGTAATTGACAGGGCAGTTGGTAGTAAAATCAAGCAAAATTTTTTTCCTCCATAATCTATTATACACAGAAAACTGTTAGTAGAAACTGTTGAGTTTTCACTCAAAATTCTCTAGTATCTATTTCAGCTGAAATGCTCCTAGTCCACATCACAATAAACCTTCACTTCAGCAACTATTATTGTTCACACGGTCTCACATGTTCACATAGTATGGCAGCCAAAATTGCCCTTTAAAGTTATCATATTAATTTGGACAAGTTTTAATTTGGAAGCAAGTGGACCAAGCATGTAAAGGCTCAAAACATCAGGTGCTTCTTTCTCACTCATATAAAGCTCAGGATGGTTTTGGATTGGCCAGGAGGAGTTTCTACTCCACACAGCCATCCAGGAGTCCAGGCTGACAGTGGTTCTATCATCTTAATATAAGCTTTCAGTATGCCCTGTCAAAATGCGAAGCAGTACAAGGAAGCCCACATGGGAAAATTTTATGAGCTAGCCCTACTGGTGGTATTCACCATTTCCTTACTGCCATAGATAGAATACAGTTGTGTGGCTCACAGCCAACTACAAAGAGGGCCAGGAAATGTAATCTGGCTGTATGCCCAGGAAGAAGAGACAAATGGATTTTGATGAACAGATGGAAGCCTCAACCTCAAAAAAAAATCATGCCACTCCTTTGCTTAAAACATTTTAATTGCTTCCCATTGCACTTAAAACCACACTCATTACTTTGGCCTTTACGGCCCACATCATCCGCACTGCCCACCGTCCTTAAGTTGTGCCATTCTCAGTGTCCTTACGAGGCCCAAACCTCAGGGGATTTTGTTCAATTTTCTTTTTCTTTGTCTAATACCAAGGTCCTTGTAACCTCAGATCTTTGCAATGCCATTCATTCTGCTTAAAGAGCCTTCGTTACATCATACCACACTTCCCTAAGCTGGCTGCTTTTTTTAATCTCCAGGCTTCAGCTTAAATGCTATCTCCTTAAAATGATGTTCTCACTCCCTCATCTCACAAAAATGAGGAGCCCCCATCTAAATTAGATCCTCTCTTAGCCAATTATTCTAACTGAAAATAATGTGTTCTTATCTCTCCTGGTCCTTAACACAAATGTCAAGGGTGTGTTTAGCTGAATGTTAAATCGTGGTTCTCTGTCTCCCCCACAGAACTGTTAGCTACTAAGGCACATGCATCTAGCTTAACTCACCTTTGAGTCTTAAGCTCCATCACAGTTGCTAGCACATCAATAAAGTTCTGATGAAAAATTACGTGAATGAATGATACAAATGAGGGAATAAAGAGCTTTTACACTTTTGGTGATTATCCGAAGATGAGAATATTGCTATACTGGGGATAGAAGAGAAGGAATTAGAAGTCAGGCAGTTCAAGTGGGAGCAAAGGCTCTAATGTAAGCTTGTCCAACCTGTGTCCTGTGGGCCACAGGCAGCCCAGGACAGCTTTGAATGCAGCCCGACATAAATTTAGAAACTTTCTGAAAACGTTAAGACTTTTTGTGGTTATTTTTAAGCTCATCAGCTGTCATTAGTGTTAGTGTACTTTATGTGTGGCCCCAGACAATTCTTCTTCTTCCAGTGTGACCCATAGAAGCTAAAACATTGCACACCCCTATAATTACAAAAATTCCTGGCACACATGCGGACAGTGAGCAAACCATGCATTCAGGGAGGCTCCAGAACAATGCCACGAGGACTATTAGTACTTACTTGGGTCTGAATTTTACCATGTAGAAATAGAGAACCAAAAAATAAATAAAAAGAATGTTGATCAGATGGGTTAGAACAAGGTACATTTTCATATTTCTCTGATGATTAAGGACCAGGGAGAAGCAAGCTAGAAGCTAAAATAATAGTCCAGATAGCAAAAGTGGCAGTGGGAGGAGAAAGGGGTGGAGAAGTGGGGAAAGAATTTAATTTAAAAGCAATTACAGGAAAAAATTATTTGGTACCTTTTAAAATTAAAGTTTCTCTACTCAAAACCTTCCAAGGAAAGTCTCCATTTCTCACTCAGATTAATAACCAAAGTTCCTAGAGAGCCCACCTAGACTCTCCCTGATCTCAGCATTACTACCTTCAAGACTCCATCACCTCTCCGGCTTCATCCTCTCACTCCCTTTCTTGCTGGCTTCACTCCTGCTGTATCGGGCTCCTTGCTGATTCTGGAATACTCAAGGGCGGTTTCCCCT